GGAAACTCTGGAAAGGCGCGCACCCCCCTGGAGGGGCCTGTGCCTCGATACTGAGAGAAACGCCAGCGCATAGCAGACTGTGAGCTGTTTTCCTTCCCTCTCCCCAACATTTCAAACCATTCACCAAAGTCAAGCAGACACTAGAAGTGCAAACTACACAAATGTAAACCGAATTTTGTGGGGTTTGCTCTCTTTAGAGGTGAGGAGAAGGAACAAGACGTCTTAAAAGGGCAAGAGAAGAGTATCTGAATTTACTCTCTCGCCTCTCCTGTCCATTACCGACACCCCAAAACCTCAAAAGTTCAAAATGCTCCCTGTGTGCCGCAGGAGACAAGGCTTCCAGCCGGTGACCTCTGCAGCCTCGGAACCTGGGAATCCCGTCTTCTTCTCTAGCACAGAACACAAGCCTGGGCACGTCACGCACCGCACAGGCGCAATAAACGTGCTCAATATTCATTGTCTGAGGACGCTTTTAAAGAGTTCCATCGGACTTTAGAACCAAGCACGTCTATGTTGCACGGAGCAATGTCTTTGTTTTTATCTCACAGTCATGGTGGGCTTAGGATGCCCCGGCTACCAGTGAGTCCCGGGAGCAGATTTGGGGCCCAGCTCTTGAAGGGTAGATCTTCCCTCAAAGCCTTTTTAGCTTCATTCCTTGTATCACCCCATCCTTGCTCTGTAATATCTTCCGGTCTCGTATTGTTTATGTTTCTCAGCTTATGTCTACACACGACCTGGCACACTGGACACTCAACATCGATTGGATTTCATTAGATTAATCGAACTTCAACAAAAACAAAAGGAAAATTCTAGCCCCTCTCTGAAATAAAATCCTCCTCTTTTTATAAACGAACAAATGAAGCACAAACCCTTTTCTTGAGGTGATGCTGAGAACTGACAGCTCCCTTTCAAGCATCATGAGAAAAGAGGCTGACGTGGGGTTATTCAGCCAAAGCACCCCCTCCCCCTACGCCCACTTCTCCCCACATCTTTTATTTCCCGGGTGAGGGCCTGTCACTGCTGGCTTCACACATGCCTAGCAAAGCATGTCTAAGCAAAGCCCAACAGGTAGTTTCTCAAAATTCTGTCCACCGTCAGAATAAAAATAATTCTGAGGCGTAAGATTCAGGAAGTCAGGCTAAGAAAATCACACTTTCAGCCACTTTTTCAAAGAACTGTAGAAAAGATGCAATTGCCGGACCTTCCCCGTCATGGAAGGGGAACAAAAGAAGTTGCCAGAAGCCAGGTTTCCCCAGCCGGAAGAGAAAAGGTCATACTTGTGGGGGCTGCTCTATGGTTTTCAATACTAAGGAGGATTTAAGGGATTTGGGAAAGCCGTGAGGTTTATTAACAAAACTCAGGATGAAGAAGGATGTAGACTAACTCTTCCACTGAATGGCTGCCTCAGAGGCTTTCAAGGTATTTTCATATGTTAAAATACAAAAGAAAGAATGATCAAAGGCTGTGGCAAACATGCGCACACACACGTATGGTCCCGCCGGGCCCGGGGCTGCCCAACGCCCGGACTGTCACCTCGCAGTCCACAATACGTTTTCCAAGTGGGCATAGATAGTGAAGCCTCCGGCTGTTGAAATGCCCTCTGTATACTCTAAACCACTGACATGAGATTATCCGCCAAGCATGTGATAAAATCATGAGCCCGTGGAGTCTTGGCCCCAAATCCATGCGAGCCTCAAGAACACGCACGCGGCCGTCGCCTGAGCCGTGGGAGCAGCAGCCTAGAACCCCGGGTCCGGGTCCAGCACCACGTCGAGTCTCCCGGGACACAGAGCAAGGAACCCAAGGTTAGAGCCGGCTCAGCTCTGCCCGTGGGCACCACGTACCTGCACACGCGCCCTCCGGAGAGGTTCCCGAGTCTTGTACGTGGCGCTTAGGTTAACGACTTTGGAAGATCCTAGGGACGACGTGATAGTCCAAGAAGAAAATGTGGAAGTGGGAATTTGTGGGGCCTCGTGAATAGCCGTTAACCTCCACACAAACCCTGCCACGGGCATAAGGAAGCGGGTGCTGGGGAGCCCCGGAGGCCGCCCTCTGGACCCGCAGGGGGTCTCCTGAGCCCGCCTGGCCTGGCCCGACCCCGAGCGCCCACCCTGGGCCCCGAGTCAGCCCATCCTGTCGTGCAGGGCTCGGTCCCTCCCGGCCAAGTCAACGCACACACTTGACACGCTGGTGGCCTGAGACCTTAACAAGCAGCCCTGACCCGGCCCTGTGAGCTGCTACAGTCTCAGACGTACTTTCTAGCTCATTTTACTCAGCAAATGCAGAATTATTGTCATTTGACAAACATTTCTCCAAAATATATGGAAGGCAGATCCGTTCACAAGAGCGTAAGAGAAGAAAACACTCCATTTTTAATGGAACGTCCTCTTTATCGAGATCATTTCAGTAACTTAGTACTGTTTGCCACGGAAACTACTACTATAAACTGTCTTGGCCCAAAAATATACAGAAGCCCGGTGCCTTTGTGACCTAAACCGGCTCCATTGGAACTCAGCCGCAGACGGCTGGCCTGTGGTTTCTTCAGGGCTTTGCTTCAGAAAGTATTTTTAAAAAGTGAAACGAGGGATCCCTGGGTGGTGCAGTGGTTGGGCGCCCGCCTTTGGCCCAGGGCGCGATCCTGGAGACCCGGGATCGGGTCCCACGTCGGGCTCCCGGTGCATGGAGCCTGCCTGCTTCTCCCTCTGCCTGTGTCTCTGCCTCTCTCACTCTCTCTCTCTGTGTGTGACTATCATAAATAAAAGTTTTAAAAAAAAAAAAAGTGAAACGATATGAGACAGCTTTGAAAAAAGGAAAGCTTTTAACCCTTTTGATCCCAAAGATATCCAACCGGTAGAGAATTTATTTCACGGAGTCATAGGCTGATTTTATACTAAGTTGTAACTCCCTGAGAAACTCTGCTCGTTTGGAGATACTTTCAGGCCTTACTGTTGTGCCAGTGCCAGCTCTCGGCCGCGCTCGTATTTGCGAGCGTGCTCACATTCGCTCTCCGCTGATTAAACCTGAGGGTGTCAACCAGCCCTGCCATAGAACATGACTGACGCCCCGTTTATGATAAATACCAGCACGCTCAGTCTCCACTCTTAACTAAGTAAGGGTCCTCCTGCTGTTTAGAGCCCAAGAATCCAATGATTAGAGCAGGTGCCTGCGTGCCACTAATAAAGTCACAGAAAAGAGTAATCCCAAACATACTCCACTAGCAAAACTCATGTATTTTCTTCCTGTGGAATCTACAGGTCTTCCAGGATCTTACCCCCAAAGCTTCCATCAAGGTACCCAAAGTCCGACAATAGCCCACCTCATTTGTGTTTCCGCATAACAGTTGTGGGAGTTGTGCACTGCACAACTTTTGGGTGCCAGTCACATGGTAAAAGTCACAGCTGTGAATATTTATAAGCACAACTTATAAATTGGTAATAGCAGTGAAATATGTGGGTTTTCTCCTAAAACCTGTGTGATAATTTTTCAACAGAAAATAAGTGTCCTAGGGAGGGGGGCATAGTTTTCTAATTTATACTAAAATATTACATAGATCAGCAGTGATCTCGTCACAAACCAATTTGATTCAGATAAATCTGTTAAATTAACCATTTCATAATGTGTATAACGCTGGACAGGGATTTTCTTTTTCCTGCTGGGAGTCAGTTATCATAAAGAAGGGAAACAGCTGAGGACCCACACATCTCCCTGGAAAGCAACTTATATCACTTTCTCCCTAACTAACATTTTTAAAAAATCAGTTTTGCCCCTGCCCATTTACAGACCAAGGAAAAAGGGTCACAAAGATCTCGTCTCCTTAAAGACCGCGTTTTAAATTAGGGAAAAAAAATGTATTCAAAAGGATATGCAATAAGTAACAAACAAAAACTTTGATCCCATCCGTATCCAGAAAAGAGAGGGCAGGGGGAGGAGAAAGGACAGGAAGAGGGACAGGGGCGGAAATATAAAGTGAGGTGAGGGGTTGGGGCAGGGCAAGGAGGGAAAAGAGAGACAAAGAGAGAAACCCAAGGACTTAGTAGGAAGAAAGGAGACACATACGGAAGAGATACAGCAAGACGGAGAAGAGGGGAAAAGATCAAAGGAAAGATAGCGTGAATTGTCAGACGAGTGCTGGTTGAGTGGAAACTCATTTGGTTCTGTTTTATTTTCCTTGGTTTATGGAAAAAGCTACTTTGTCACGCTCACTGGGCGTGAACAGCTCATCGCAGCTCTGTACTCAGTGTCTCTACACCGCCCAGGACTCTTTCCTAGCGACTCACCAGAGGTACCGCTGTTCCCTCGACTCCAGCAGCGAGGTCACCTCAGTGACGTGGCTGAACGAGTGAAGGGAAGCCAAAAAGAGAAGAATAAACTACTTGCCCTGAGAGAACCGGTAGCTTCTGGTGTCACGTGGACAGCTGTGGGCAGACCAAAGACAGAAAGACTGACACGGTTCCACGGTAAAGTGTGTTCAGGAGGGAATGATCAAAGCTCGCCGTGCTTAGGTGTGGTGAAAAGATTCCACTTGAGTCTTCCGATTCTAATCAATAATGAAGTTGTACGCGGGTGACCTGTGTAGGTACACGTGGGGCAGATCAGCATTATTTTTATTGCCGTGTGAGGTCTTAGGGTTTCTGAAGACTCTGGTTTGAATATGGAAAGAATAAGGGACGCCCGGGTGGCCCAGTGGTTTAGTGCCTGCCTTCGGCTCAGGACGTGATCCTGGAGACCCGGGATCGAATCCCACGTCAGGTTCCCTGCATGGAGCCTGCTTCTCCCTCCGCCTGTGTCTCTGCCTCTCTCTCTCTCTCTCTCTCTCTCTCTCTCTGTGTCTCTCTCTCATGAATAAATAAATAAAATCTTAAAAAAAAAAAAAAAGAATAAGCATCCAGGTTATTTCACAGACCGTGAAGGTGACCCTGCTATCCCACCCCCTCCTAGTACCAGACACACACACACACAAACAAAAAGATCTCCTGATGGGTTTCTCTCGTTTCCCACAGTGCTCCTATATACCTAAGTGTGGAAAAAATTTTGAAGAATCCATGTCCCTGGTGAACGTCGTCATGGAAAACTTCAGGAAGTACCAGCACTTCTCTTGCTACTCTGACCCAGAGGGAAACCAGAAGAGCGTCATCCTAACCAAGCTCTACAGTTCCAACGTGCTGTTCCATTCCTTGTTCTGGCCAACGTGCATGATGGCTGGGGGCGTGGTGATCGTTGCCATGGTGAAACTCACGCAGTACCTCTCCCTGCTCTGCGAGAGGATCCAGCGGATCAATAGATAAAAGCAAGATGGATGAGATCATTTTCTTTAAAGCTCAAATACTGTTTTCTTTCATTCCTCACCAAAGAACCTTAAGTTTGTAACGTGCAGTCTGTTATGAGTTCCTTAATATATTCTTATACGTAGAGCAATAATGCAAAAGCTGTTCTATATGCAAACATGATGTCTTTATTATTCAGGAGAAGAAATAACTGTTTTGTGTCGGTTGGTTTTCACAATCTTGTTTTGATGCTGGAACTAGCACTTCCTTCTCTCGTTCCGCCAAGACAGGGCTCAGTTGTTCATTTGCCAAGCTTTGGGGAGGGACGTAGACGGTATCAGCGTGATAACGTCTGTGTTCTCAGTTGTCAGATATCTTGAAGATGTTTCTGCAATATTTTTCATCACTCATTGTTTACTAAAGCTGCAGCCAAAAATATTCTTTCTTTTCTTATTCAAAACTGAGCCCTGTAGCAGGTGAAGGGACCAGATTTCCTAACTGAAGGATGTTAAGCATTTTCCTTATATTTCTACCATATCACTGTAAAGAAGGGGGGGGGGCGACGTCCAGACAGTTATTTCTCTTTTATTATTTTCTATTCATGACTTAAGATTTTTTAACTGATTTCCAAGAATAAGCTGTTTTCATTAACCAGTTCTATAATCTCTTCCTGTGATTTAAATAGAAAATGAACAGAGCCCTTTTCCATTTAAGACCCTGCTACTGTGTGAGGAGACAACACTTACAAAGAGTTTCATTACCTGTGAATTGACTGAATGTTGAGTAGATGCACCGTGGCCACCCAGGAACGTCTATGTCACCAAGATATTTATGTGAAAATCTTTATTCAACTGAACTGTTAGAGGGTAAAATTAAGATCCTACTTGCCAGTAAAGACAAGTGGACTTTTTCAATGGGTAAATCGATTGTGGCAAATTAACGTATTGGAATGTTACTCTTTGGGAATTTATGTTTAAATTAATGAGTGTGTAGTCTCTCCTTCTGACAAGTGTTCCCATTGGGATTTTAAAGCTACATGCCCAGAATATTTGTCTCCTCTACATGTTTTATTTTTCTATTTACAATTCTCTTTTTTGCTGCTAGATTTTATACACAGAGCAGACCTTTTTCCTAACACTCACTCGAAATGAATAACAGATCTAAAGGAAGACTTTGTCACATTGCCCTTTGCTTCTCCTGTGGGGGGAGGGGGAAGAATGAGGCACTGGTTTTAAACAAAACATTCCATCCTTTACTTAACATCAATATCAAAAGGAGAAGGCAAACATCTATCTTTCTCATCTATATTTAAGTATCCTTTTATAACATAGTATCGCAATTTTCTAGATATTGGGAAATTTTATAAAACATATTTGTGGAATGCATGGTGAAACTTATCTGATGAAGTGGAGAGTTTCCTGAAATACTGTAATTCATAGTTTCACTCTCCATAAGATGTAAATTCTTAGGGTGTAATTGGGACTTCAAATGTGTAATTAAAACTTTAAAAAACAAAATCCATTACATCGGCAAGATTTATATACTTCTTGCGTTCTAAGCTAACAAGTCCATGGTCATCCAAAAACCTAGGATTCGCTATCTTTAAAGGTATTTAAATAGATTATAAAGAAAGTTCCTTTAACACCCAAACATGTATAACTTTCAAACAATATTGTTTGAAAATATGATGGAAAGCTTGATTCCTACCCTACTTTAAAAACCTAATTCTGAAGATGATAGAAAACTCTTTGTGACTAGGGAGCTGAGAATCTGCGATCTTTAATGTTCCTTGAGCTTCCCTTCAAGCAATCTGAAGATGAGTTACTTATTATTTTTTTTCAGATTTGTCTTTAAAAATTCCCAACTGTTGTTTCAAATAAGATTTAAGAAATCTCAAAAAAAAGAATTAAGAAATCTCAAAATAATAACCCCCAAAAAAACTTAACTAGTGACTTTCTGAATTCCAGTAAAGCAACAGCCCCTTCAAGCAATTTAAATGTATAGACAATTAAATGCTCATTATTAAAGGAAATGAATTGGGATTGATAATGTTTTAAATACATTGCACATGCTAACTAACTTAATTTTTATTAGAGCCCTATTGCAGAGAGCACTATTATTTTCCCATTCTATACAAGAGAATGTTGAGGCTTAGAGGTGTTAACTTCCCCAAGACTACACAGAAACCAAGATGGCAGAGGGGTGAGAAAATACCCAGCCTGTGGCTTCTCCACTGTAGTGACCATCTCTGTGGCTTTGGGGTATTTAAGATAACACTGAGGAATGCTACGGTTTAGGAAGGATTATGGAGGTAAAGGGTAAAGAGGAAAGACCGCTGAACTAGAAGTCAAGGACGTCATTCAAGACATGGTGACTAGGGCCCTTCAGGCCTCTCGATTAGTCTCTTGACCTCTTTGATTGTAAGATTAGAATATGAGGGGAGTTGACCACTAAGCTCCTTTTTAACGTTAACTTTTCATCCTAGAGATATGGAAGGAGGAATGAATACCACTCCCCAACCTTCACAGCACAGGTCTGATCCTCGAACAGAACCTACACCTACTAGTCCATGGATCACAAAGTGGCTTCCCTGTTAATACTCCCCATAGGCCACGTGCCCTTCTCCGGGACGCAGACCTTTATCTACACCCACCAGAAGCAAAGCTCTGAACCTCCACATGACTCCACAAAGACGGTCTCTGTCTCAGGGTGTCTGTGCTTCCAAATCACTTTCAGTAGCCAATTGGCATATTCCATCTAAAACCTTATTGATTTCAAATTCCCTGAGTTACAATTATATTAAAACCCCGACAACAGTAAACACACCAATGATTGCTTGCAAATAGCCATAATAACAAATTCATTCTGTAGAAAGCCACTGGTGCAATGCTGACCGGTCGTAATAACGGAGCGGGCAACCATAAAGTACCTCTCATGTCCGCCACATGACGTTAGCGATCCAGCACGCTACTCTTTTTCTCATTGCTGCAAATATTATTTTCAATATGTCAAACCATAAACACATTTCAGTGGGCAAAGCATCCTGACACTATAATCACTCCATTGACGTTACAGAGAGACGTGTAGGACAGCAAGATAACATGAGCGACAGATCCAAGAGGGGTAAAGCAATAATTTTAAAGCAATGACCTGCTGTTCACAGACATAATTAAATTTTCCTCCCCTACTCGGCCAAAATACGGCAGTAAACGACGTTCAAGCAAGTAAGGGAATGTTTTTCCCCGATGGGAAAGAGGAGGTGGTTAAAGTTTGGACATGCTTCCTTCTCTTCCCCACTTCTGCTTTTTTCCCTTTCCCTTCGTAAAACGTTCAGTAAGAACAACCCCACGGTTCCGCAGTGACCCCCCCCCCACGTCTGTACCACATTCGGAGTCTGACCCAAGGGACGCAGTGTCAGGACTCTTGTGAAAAACCTGTCAGGGTGACACGTCCGACAGAACCGAGCAGGCCTCCGTGAGGTTGACTCCGTCCCTCGCTTCCGTACAGCAACCGCCAGGACAGTGCAAAGTGCGGGACCCCGCCCGGTCTCCCAACCATGAGTGTGTAGCGCACTGCAGGGGTCAAGACGACACACGTGAAGAAAACAATGGAGCACGCAGAGCTCTCGGAGAGCCCGAGCCGGGAGCACAACGGCCTCGGAGGGGCGATGTCCGACGTGTGGGGCGCCCGGCACCGTAGACAGCAGGTAACGGCTGCTTATGGGGGGTACTTATTAGTATCAGTAGAAAGTGGAGAAGGAGTAGTAACAGTCTTAGGACAACCACTAGTAGTACCTGGCCTCCTGGAGCCAGAATAGCTCTAAAACGCCTTTTTGCCCAGAATCCACAGCAAAGCCTGAGTCCTTCCTGCAGCGTCGTTAGTCGGTGACGGGGACGGCTGCTGCTGGCGTCCTGCCGGTGGTGGGGTAGGCCGCCGGTAACAAGGCAGCGTGAGAAGCCCTGCTGATACCGGTTTGAAATCTGCCTCCCATAGGATCCACACACTAAATCCACACCAAATCGCATCAGTACTCCTGGGTCACCAACTTATCCTAGTAGCGCTATTTTTACTTAAAAACAGAGGAGGGAATGGGAAAAGACCCACTTTCATTTGTTTAAAGTGTAAAACCACAGGGAGGTCAGACGTTCAGCCAGGATTGACATAAAGGAGAACTTCTGACTGACATCAGCTTTAAAAGGGGGTGACTGGGTGACAGGCACTGAGGGGGGGCACTTGACGGCCCGAAGCCTCTACAACCTGTAGTGTACTTGCTACGTGGTGTGACATGGAGTGACATCAGGACACGGAGGAGGTTCAGGATGCTCTACACGGCCTCATCCCCTGTTAGCACTGTGAGCCGTAGTGCTAGAAATTGCTTTTGGTAGAATTCACAATTTCTCTTTATAAAAATCTCCTGTCTCCCTCCGTCTCTTTGCCTGTCTGTCTGTCTCTCTCGCAGTCCCGCTCTCTCTCAGCTGTTTCTCCTGTTGGTCGTGTCCTTCATCTTCATGTACCAGCGGAGATGGCCCCGTGTTCCCCACACCCCTTGTGTCTATACTTGCAGGAGGAGAACAACCCAGCACTTCTCAGCCTCAGAAATGCCAACTGTCTGTGTATCACTTGTCCCCGACCGGGCCACCCCTGTCACGAGCGATGCAGGGCACGTGCTTTGCAGCCCCACGAGGTGGGGGTCAAGTGATTCCCCGGAGGAAACTGGGTGTGAGTGAAAGAAGAGGAGAAAGGGTGCTGGGCGACAGGAGCAGCAGGTGCCCCCCACCCCGGCTTCCAGCACCGGGATTTGGGCCCGAGGACAAGTGCTGCGGAGACAAGGAGACTCGTGGGCTCAGAGGGCGGAGAGGGGACTAGTGCTCGGAAGTCACTCTGCGACTTTTCTATGGTTCCCCATTATTAATAAAATTTGAAAGAAAAAGAAGTCTCTGATTTTGATTCAGTGAGAGGGCGGGATAGTCTGGTTTCAGCGAAGCACAAGGGGGGAGGTGGGGAAACGTGCTACTTTGTTGTCTTCAAGCTGTTATGTGGTCACTGACGGGACACGGAGGGAGGGACACGGGCACAGGGGGTGGGGAGGGGGGGCACGGGGACGCGGGCCCAGGACGGGCAGCTGCGCACCCGAGCGCCCCGCAGACCCGGCTGGCGACCCCCGCCACCCCGCCCCGGCCCCCGAGCCTGAAGGAGCAATGAGGAAATGACCCCACAAGTGGCCAAAGCGTCACACCAGCGGCTCCACGGTCCCGTGGGGAAGGGCGGCCGTCGGCGGGGGGTGCCCTGCGTCAGACACACAGCTACAGGGCCCCTGGGACCCACAGGCTCCAGCGTGCATGGAGACATGGACACACGTGCACACATGCACACACGCACATGCACGGAGACACGTGCATGGAGACATGCGCACACAGACGTGCCCACGCACACGGAGACACACGCACACACATGAAGAAACGCGCACGGAGACACGCAAACACACAGACATACGTGTGTGCACACAGACACATACACACAGACACAAACTGGACACATGTATACACATATGCACATACACGGGGACACGCACACACAGAAATGTGCACACACACGTATACACAGGAAGACACATACACTCATGCATGCTCAGGCACACACACGCAGGCATGCACACACACATGCATACACATACACACATGGAGACACGTACACATGCACACACATGCACAGACACATGCACACACATGCACACACATGCACAGACACGCTTACACATTCACACACAGACATGCATGCACACACATGCACACAGAGACACACGTACACATACGGATACACACAGACATGCACGTGCACACAAGACACACACATGCACGCACAGACAGACACACTGACACACACATACACACACATACACATGCATGCATGGAGACATGCACATACACAGACACACACATGCACACAGGCACAAATGTGCACACAACATACACATTCATACATGGAGACACACAGACACAAAGACACACATGCACACACACAGAGATACACACGTGTACTGACACATACGCACACACACATGCACACACAGAGACACACGGAGATATGCACATATACATACATGCACAGAGACACACAGACACATGTGCACATATGTGCACTTGTATGCACACAGAAACACACAGGCACACACAGACACGTATGCACACAGGCACACACAGACATGCACACACATGTGCACACAGATGCACAGGGGCACACACGCACACACAGATACACACATATGCACACAGGCACACATGCACACAGAGACACACTCTGGGGGAAAAAGCAGCCTCCTGTTCTCCGCACACACCCGCAACCGTACCTGGCACCACCAGAGCCACGTGGCGCGGGCCCCCTGCCCTAAGCGTCTGCTCGTCACCTCCTTTTCTGCCCACGGTCACCCTCCTAGGACCTACAGCTCAGAGCCATCTTCTCTCCAGTCCCTGCACTGCCTCTCACCCTCGACTCACTCT